TTGGCTATAAATCAAATAGACGTGACAGCCAACAAGAAAAGGTTAAATACAGAGTATTGATCGATACTATCGTTATTTCAATCGATCTGCCCACCTCTAGTTTAATAACCACAGAATTATTATTAATAGACAGGTATCTGGTAGACTAGGTGGAGTCTGCAGTTATTTAAAAAACCCCGGCCCCCTTTTTTTTATTTGAACAGAATTATTCTTCAAATGTTGGTGCTCCGTTTCACACAATATAAACGATCTTTTTAGGCTGAGCAGGCTGCTTGACAGCTCCTTTGGATCATTGTCTTATTGCAGAAGTCAGACTCGTTTCACGTTCCATTGTCATGACTGAATGCGTGACATTTTCCTCACCATTTGTGTTGAATCCATTCATCCCTCTATTTGTGCAATCTTTCCCATGCCACTGACTCCACTGCAGGATATTTCCACCTCCATGCTTAACTCAAAAATTTTATTTTTTCCCCATCAAATGCTGCTCCATTTTTTTTCCTTCCAACGAATCTTTGATGATTGAGGCCACAAAAACCAGTATAAACTTCATGTGTCCATGGCGTGTTGCTTTAAGAATGACTCGAACCAGTGAGGTTGTATAAAACTTTTACATGAAGCCTGCTTGTGCAAGTAAAACCACTTTCTGCATCGGCTAATCCTACCTGCAGCTCCTTAATGACATTTTGTGTTGATATCTTTTTATAGGTTTACCTACTTTGGAACTATCTGTTACACACCTTTCAGATTTTGAGTCATCTGCATAGATGATCATGTGGTTGCTAAATATTAAGAGTCACAAATCACTTAAAGCCCAGTAAGTCAAAGAGGTGCTTCAAGATTTTATTGATTTTTTCCCCCATTTACTAATATTTTCCATCATTTTTCTTTCACTTATCCATGTCAGGGTCGTGGGAGGCTGGAACCTAACCCAGCTGTCATAGAGCGAGAGGTGGGGTGCACCTCTCGCTCTATGACAGTATGACAGCTCGCAATATGAGCATGACACACAGTCATGCTCATATTCGCAGGCCTACGCCCTCCATAACTGTGGCAGGAAACCAGAGTACCAGGAGAGGATCCACACAAACATGGGAAGGACCTTCTTGTGGTTCTATCCACCCCACTAATGTTTTATCCTATGTTTATATTAGTATTTATTCATTTTTTATGGTAGAATAAAAATGACATGTAGAGGCATGAAGCCAAACCACTGGTTTGACGGAGAGAAGTGGGGAAAGGTGGGTCATAAGACACTTTATTTTGTGCATTTTGGCAAGTGTATACATATGTGTCTGTTATGTTATCCTGAGTCAACACACAATCTTTAGACCTTGTCACGTGTTCTCTTTTTTCTAAGATAAAGAGAGCTTCGGTCCAGTTCAAGTTAAACAGATTTATTGCCTCAACCAGTTCAAAGAATAATGTGGTTAGAAAACCACAATCTGCAACAGTTTTCTGTAGCCAACTCCCGGAAGAGACAACTTAGCCATACACATATTTATAAAAGAGAA